TAAGCATTACATGCCTTGGTCAGAACTAAAATGTCCATGTGGAAAAACACCAGGTCCGACAGCTGACGGGAGTGAGTCAGGAGGGGGCTGGAGACACAAGGAGGCACATGGGCAGCACTGAGAGATGCCCATGTTGAAGTCAAAGAAAAGAAATGTGTAGAATACCATAGAAAACCGATGAAACAGTGGCAAGGGGGAGAGGTCAGAAGTAACCTATGATCAACACATCAGGATAAGTTGGGTGCCGAGACAAGACTGAGCAGGGTGTTTGAGCACTCAGGCACACCAGTTTTTTGGTTTGTGGCTGTTTTTCTGGTATTCAAGAAGGATAATTCAATTCTGATTTATTTTGTCTCTAGCAGGTAGTAAGTTTACACTGTGGCATGTTAACTAAAGTGAACAGTACTTTTTCATTAATGTAATCTTAGGTCCGACATAGTACGACTTTAGTTGAAAAGTCAGTATCTGTCTCAAAAATGGTTGATCTTGTCTATAAGGTAATATGGAGTTCCATATGAAAATATATGTTTAATAGATTACATTGGAGAAAACAAAATCTATTTATGAGGTTATTTTTTTTTCCCATTAAAGAAAGTGAATTGTTGGGAAACGTAAGTCCGTTATGGATGTGTCTGAATGAAAACGATATAAAATAAATAAAATAAAAATTTAAAAGTTCAGGGAAACCTTTTCCAACTGCCTAAGTCACTCCTCCCCCAAGGTCACCAAAGCAAATTCTGTCCCTCTTGGGGTGATAGTACCTATACGCGTCATGCACTTTGCTCCTGTGCCCGGTGGGCACGTAAATGAATTAATGAGTGCGTGTGAAAGAGAGCAGAAGCTTGTGGCAATGCAGCATTTGGCCGAGCTATTCGCAAAGGAAAAAGAAATCCTAAGACTTAAAATACATCCTTGAAAAGGTTTACACATGTACGCTTTTTCTTAATTGCTACCAAAGTTACGGTCGGGTGAGAGCATGTCCTTTTTATGGTAAGTTGAAATATGGGAATGTTCTCGGTGAGGTGAAATTTGGATCTACTGAATTTCACATTACTTCAGCTGCAGCCCTCGATATTTTATTTCTGACCCTTCAGCTCCAGCTTGTGATAATGAGATGAGGAAGGGCACGCAATGGTGCAAACCACAGTTATGAACGAAGATGAAAGCCAAGCGCGGCCTTCCCGATACTGGCCAGCTCCTGAGACATGAGCGGCTGTAATTAGAATCTCCTCTCTTTGATTAGGTGTACTTTAGAGGCAGAATTAATTGTTTAATTAAATGAAAATTTTAAATACTGAATACTGCAAGCATTTTTCCTCACTTACCATGGTAAGGCTGGTTTTAATTTTAAACCATTACTCAGCTCTTATTTTGAGAAGAATGTGCCTTTCAGAAAGTTGGATATGAACACATTCCTTTAGAATGAATTCCATTATCCTATTGCTTTTTGTTGTAATTTTTATTTTTTTATGGGTACATATTAGATGTAAATATTTTCAGGGTCCGTGTAATAATCTGGTGCATTCATATCATCAAATCGGGGTAATTGGGATGCCCATCACAAGTTAATATTAACGGAGTGTGTCCATGTCCAAATAGTGAGAGATAATAGAAGAGAATAATTCAAATGTTCCTAGTGTTGTAATTTTTAAAGTAAGGGTTTTAAAATTTTTTTAATCACAAGAGAAAAAAAAATTTCTGGCAAACATGAATTGAAAATGGAGCAGGATTTATGGGGCCCTGCTGATTCGACATGAGGACGGCCACATTCTTCTTCAGGAGAAAGAATGGTGTCAGTGCCCTGTTCCTCTGAACTAATTCTTGTAGCTTCCTGGAGAGCCCGTTTCCTCACAAAAGAATGACATTTCAAATATATGTGACTTTTTTTTTTCCCTAGAAGATGTCAAGATTCCATAAATGCTTGTAGAAAACGCTTTAAGCTGTTAATTATGTACAACACTGCATTGTGTCCCATAGCTACTCCATGGATTGTGGTGTGACCAGCTGGTTTGAGGGCTTTCCCATTAATGTGAGCATTTATTTCATAGATTATACTCATTGGCTTGAAAATCCTGAAGCCAAGTATCTATCTACTTTCTAAGATGAATTTCGCCCATAAAATCAAGTTGTCATTGTGTTGAATTTTTAATAACATTAATTCATATGTCAAAAGTTAAGGCCAAAATTTTTCATACACATTGAACAGTAAATTTTAACTCAAAATTCCCACTTTAATGCCAGAAAAGTTATCCAGGTTACAATAATGCTTTCATGAGCTCTTTTAAAATATAATAGGAATAATGATATCAGATCATAATTAAATTTTGTCATTCAACTTGCTGAGACAACTAAATTATACAGAAGACTTTGTATATAAAAAGTTAAAAGGGTTTCATGTTTCTAAAGGGTGAAAACAGAATGCTAGCTCTAAGTTTTTGGAAATAAGTATTTAATGAGCCTGAAATTGTAACAATTAGGCCTCTGAATAATCAAGACAAAGAGTAATTGCATCTTAAAAACATTTCCAATCAGTCTTAGTTTACTGATATCAATGAACTGCTGGGAATCTAGTTCTCTCAGGGAAAAATCAAGCCTGGATTTGTTGCATTTGCCAATTGCTGTAAACACTCCCAACATGGCTGAATTAAAACTGACAATAGTTTAACAACCAGCTGGCAAGATTCCTGAATGACCAGGAGCTGGTTCCAACCTGTTAATGAACCCTGATCTTTAATTTCTCTTTTCTAATAAAGAATTCTGAGGTCAGGTGGCAACTCTCTTATCCCTAAGATTTATGGGAAGTGATCTACATCATCCAGGGATTATTGACAATCTCCTACCAAAGCAGATCTGAGATGACCTAAGCACTCTCACTCAACTAGTACGGAAGACCTGTCTTTCCTGGGGGACAGGAAGCTCCATTTGAATGAGTCACACTTTCTTTCCTTATGCATTCCCGTATCAGCGGCACTGTGCACAGATAGTAGCATCAGGCTCCAAGATGTAAGTAACGCCTGGGCAGAGAGCTTTGTTTGTTTTGCTCACTGACAGCTATCTGCACTGGCGCAGTTCGTTCCACATATTAGGTGATCAATTTATATTTGTAGAAAAAATGAGTAGACAAAATACTAAATAACTAAACACCAAGCCATGCATAAAAGCCAAGACAGAAAAAACATGCCTACTGAGTTGCAGATATAATCTGAACAGTGAATCATAAATGATTCATAAAATCCATGGTTTTTTTAGACCCTTTAGCTTGATGAATGATTCTAGCCTTGAGATACTGTGATTTCTCCTTTTTTGGTGCTGGTTTCAAGCATAAGAGTTTGAGGAACTGCACAAAGAGGAGCTGTTACTTGTGCCTGTCTAAGAAGCAAGTTTTATCGCAGGGCCAGTAGCCTCTCAGAAACTGGGTCTTGTTTTTCTCACTTACTCCTATTTTCTGTCTCTTCCTGTCCCTCCTTCTCCTTACTCCTCCACATAACATGTTCCTTCAGCCCCTGATCCAATATGTTTCTTCCGGCCTCTCTAGCTGGGGGGTTGGCTGCATTCAAATGTGCTTCTGCAAGGTCCAGGACACGAGATCAGCCTTCTGTAAACACCCAGGAGTCACAGCAACTCTGTTCTTTATATCCTCACGGGCTCCGTAGAAAAACGAACGGAGTGAAGCCGACCTCTCACTTATTAGAGGGCTCAGCCCTCCATGCTATAAATGGATCTAAAAAAGAAGCGGTGTTCCTAGGGAGACTAGGAATTGTGGCCACGCTGACGAGATACGTGCATAAGATACTTCCCAGTCTAGAATCCCAAGCCCGTGTTTTTGTTTTTCATCTTCTACAACATATCACCAGGAAACTGCCCAGACTTAAGGTAGGAACCCTGGAGCATCAACCTGGTGTGATTTGTGTGGCTAATGGGAGGGCTGTAATGTTCCACTTTCAAAACAATGGAAAGGCTGCTTTTTAAATGCTAAGTCTTTGGTAGATGGTCTAGGTGAGCAGGGTGGGGAGAGATTCATTGAAAGACAGTATGAGAATCACCCTGAGTTTCAGAAGGAGCCAAGAGTTGAGTGGTCATGACATGCCCTGGTGAGTCTAGCCTCTAGGAGCAGAACCCTAAAGTTCATTCCAAGGTTTTGAAAAAAAAAAGTCTGAAATCCATTACCACACTTAGGATCATAACTTGGTTTCCTTTGTTCCTTGATGCTAGTTGGAAATAGCACCGTAAAACTGTTGGAAAACCCAAATTAGATCCTGTTAGGATGCACAATTTAAAGAACCCCCAGTTTGGGAATGTGATAACATCAAAGCATTTTAACTTTGCTTTAAATATCTAAATCTAGTAAATACACATGATGAGTAACAAAACATATTTTCAGTGAATCAGGATCTACCATCTTTGAGGCTGGAGAAAGAAAGGTAAATATTTAAATGCCCTTCGTTCACTCATTCGTTCATTCATTCATTCATTCTCTAGCATTTAGCACAATGCTAGAGGAGAGAAGAAAATGCTTTGAGTGCAGACAGGGCAGGTGGCATATCAGAGGGGTCTTGGGGAGATGGACATGCACCCTCCAGGAAGGAAGAGGCAAGAAGTGCTTCCAGGCAGAGGAACCTGCAAACGCAAGGCACAGCAATGCACAGAGCACAGCGGCTATTCGGCTGAAACTCAGAGTGGGAGGAAGTGCAAGAGGAAAGCCGGGCAGCTGCCGAAGCAACGAAGGGTGGACCACAATGCCCTGCTGAGAACTTGCCATTCCTCTGCTGGGAAAGAGGCGTTCAGCTGGGTGCATGGCACAGCCCCATGATGTTGTACCCGGACAAGCATGTGACCAGAAGGATAAAGAGACGAGGACGAGGGAAGAAAGGACAAAGCAAAGCATGGTGGCATTTTTAGCCATCTGTTGGCCTCCACAGAGCAAAGCTGTCTTTTGATTTCATCCACTATGACAGAGGTTGTGCAAAGAGTGAGGAGGGTGGCAAGGTCTGTTTACTCACTGTTTCGCGGGTGCCAGCGCACGGCGTTTAAGTAGGCATTGCAATAGTGGAAGAGAAATTCGTGGTCAGAGAGTTGGCTTTTCCTCTGGAGCAGAGGCATCAGATCACGTCCATCGATGATCCTGTGTGATAAATCAGTTGGGCATCAGCCACCTTGCCCTTGGCCGCAGATGCCCTGACTTCTGAAATGTCCTTCTGGACAACCCAGAGCGCAGTGGGGTTCCACAGTCGTAATTAAACCACCCATACAAAGAAAACTAACCCCAGCTGGGAGCCGTGGGCAGCACGTTGACCCCTGCTCTGTCCATATATTACCTCATTAGAGCTCCAAAGAGCAGCATGAGTTGGGACTGTCTTCATCCCCATTGTAGAGATGAGAAAACAGAGGCTCAGAACATTTAAGTAACTCATCCAAGGTCATGGGACTAGTAAGAGCTGATGAGTTTGCAACCCAGGTGATGTGGCATTCACGCTCTCAATTATTCTCCTCATTGCTTCCCTGAAACCTGATTTTCTATCTTTTGTCTGACCAAAGAGAGAGCTTTGTTCATGAACTATGGGTCTGCTAAAAATAAGGGTACCTGAAAAGTCTGGTTAAAAAGAAGATACTATGTAGCACGGGGCCACTTGGGCTGGATAGCCTTCAGTGAAAGCATATTTCCCCATCAGAATGAATTGGTTTGTACACAATAATGATGACACTGTTAAACAGCAGGGGAATGGATTATTCCCAAATGAAAATGTGTCTCCTCTACTACTGGGGTATCTAACCATGCCAAGAAGAGGAACTTTTCTTTTTTTTTCTTTTTTTTTATTTCAGGGTATTACGAAGGTATAAACATTTTGGTTACATTTTATGTCTTTGCCTCACCCAAGCAAGGGTTAGAGGCATGCCCTTCGCCTCTACAATGCCCCCCGTGTCCTTTAGTTGTGGGTTTACCCTCAATGCCCCTATTCCCTGGAGAATATTACTGCCATGTGAGCACCCTAGTGTTCATCAGTTAGTACCAGTTTGATGGCGAGTACAAGGGGTACCCATTCTTCCAATCTTGTGATACCTCACTTCGGATAATGGGCTCAAGTTCACTTTTCAGACTGCAAACAATCGACACGTGACTGAAGATGAGAAAAATACAATTTTTTGAAGCTTCAATAAAGGGGAAAAGCCTAATACTTTGTTTTGAGCTAAACATACAATAACAGCCACTTGAGAAACTGAAGTCACTGACACCATTAGGCTGCTGCCGTCAAAACAAGGGGCAGAGAACTATTTTGGAAGAGTTGGAGTGTTCAACTTGAGGGTTTGCTTTCTCTGATTAAAAACACTACATCCCTGTCCTCACTTACTGCAAGGCATTTAGGGAATGGGCATTTAAGGTGGCTCTGTAATTTGGGTAAGTGTGCCTCAGAGGTCTCGTGTCCCCCCAGCTTTTTCCTGTGGTTTATTTCAGCGTCACTAAAACCCAGTAATGTAATTATAGCCTTGTTGCTTAGCACTTCTCCGGCCTCAACCCTCGTTATTAAATCACGTGCTCCGCAGAAGTCTATGGACTGAAAATATTCTATTATCATAAGTTAAAAATAAGAACAAAAGTCAGGCTTGGTTCAGTTCCCGGCCTGCGTTCCTATTAACCACGAGCGGAAGGGAAAGGAGCCTGGCGCAGACGGTCCTATTCAGACGCAGCGTGTTCCCTGAAATACTGCTCCCGTGCTGAAAGGGCAGGCATTGTGCATCCTTCCCTTCAAATCCCTTTCAAGAAAAATTCAGGCCTTTCTCATGTGAGATGCTGAATAGGGTGGAAAGAAAAGAAGAGGTGAGGGGGGGCGGTGGGCAGGTATGAGAATTCCACCATGAAAAGCCCCTCATGGCGAACAATGGTCTAAAGGGGATAGACAAGAGGCAGAGGCTGTCCATCCTTCCCTGCCCTGTCCACCTGCAGGGGGACAGATGGTCTTTCTGCGACTCCCCAGCACCAAGATGGAACCTCCATTTTTCAAATACAATCTCGCCCTTAACTTCTTCACTCTGGGCTGGCTTTCATTTTTATTGTTTTCATTTGCCAACAAAACTCAACATGTGATTTAAGAACATAGAAGATGGAACTGCTGCTGTCTTAAGATCAGTATTTGATAACTGAAATTGGTCATAAAAAGGAGAGTTTTAATTAACAAAATAAGACTCCAACTCTCATAAATTCTTTTCTTACATAAAAGCAAATTTTTTTTTTTTTCTTTTAAGGAGTGGAACAAAGTCTATTCTGCAAACTTCTTTTTCTTCAAATGTGGAGACAGACTCATTTTTTAAAAAACATCCTACACCTAACATGCTCCTTCCTAGGAGACAATAAATCACAGGTCTATGGAAAGCCACCGTTTAACAGGGCTGCAGAAATATGGCCTGTCAAAGACAGACTCATTTCTGCCATGAAAAATTGAAAGTGACCATATTGAGCTAAACTTTTAAGTGGTGTGTAAGCTATCAAAATACTTGGAATTGTTTTAAACCACTAGTGGGATTCGCAGTTAACCGTGGCAATAACTTGGAGAGCAGCACGTTTCTGTTGATACTGTTGGTACGAACATGTTTTTATCAGGTCCTGATTTGGGAGAGACAGGCCAATCCACTTTCAACATGACACAAAGCATTGCTGTTTTCTACGGAAACAGTCTAATGGGCCTTTTCCTGCAAACTAACTGAAGTTTTCAGAGCAAGTGTGCATAGATAGCCAATGTGACAAAATGGGATGAGCTCTCTCCTAGTGTCCTCATGTCTCTTGGTAAAGAAAAGGTGCTCATTTGGGATTGTTCTTAAGTTGGAAAATGAGATGAGTCTCCTAGGGTTCCTGACTGACGGTGACAATAGCGATATTAACAATTCGTTTCCAAGGGGCCCTCGTTTCAGAATTTCAGGTCGAAAGTTACACAGCGTGGGGACAACTTTCACATACTCCAAAAAGAGAATGTCCTGAAAACCTTCCTGGGAATATGGTGACCTCATTCCTCCATGAATGTGCTGTGCTCTCGCTCACCGCTCGGTCTCTGAACATCCCAATCTCTCACCTGGAATGTCCTCCTGCTGCCCCTTGCCTGGCCAACTCTGGGAAGGCGTAGAAGACCACAGGAGAGGGAAAAGGTTTGGGGGATGCAGAAGAGAAGGTCTCGGGCACTGACGTAGAGGCTAATGTGAGGCAGGGTGTTGGTGAGTGAGCTGTCTGTACGATATTCAAAACAAAGCGATTTCAACGTAGAAAGTAATCACTAAGGACACATTTTTGGAAGAAGGCACACCTATCTGTAATACACTAAAGGGAATCCTCAGTATCTGGAAAGTTTATATTTTCACAATTCAGAAAAATATGTTTATATTTGTAAACATGAAACCCTCCGCCATAGTTGAATAGAAAGGCGGGTCCGTTATAAGCGGTTGCACTTAGAAAGCTGGGACTGCTCACGTCACCTTTTATTCTGTAAAACAAATGCAAACAAGACAGAGCTCACTCCCGTCTTCACCTGCACGACTCCACCGAATGGATCTTCTGTCGTGACTTAGCCGCAAGTCAGTAAAAGTGACTGGGAGAAGTTAATTCAGTCCCTTCCTTGTCTTCATTTAAAAAAAAGCCATGTTGAGCATAAAGTATTAATTTCTTCTCCTAACTTAAAAAAAAAACCAAATTTATTTTATTTTAACTACGGAACAGAAGATCTAACTATTTTACCTCTAAAATTTGATTCTCAGGGATGCCGGCACTCCGTTTCCTTCCCTCCCAGCGGAATGGTCTGTGGCTAGAATTCAGATGTTTTCTAAAAAGTTTAACCAGCTACCGCCTGTTGTGATTCTTTTTTACCAAAAATAGGGAGGCCATAGTCTTATCATGACTGTATTGTATCTGCTTGCAAAGATGAGAACCACAGAAAGGTTTTGCATTTTAATGAATTCATACATTTGGGTATTAGACTCTTCTTTTATAAAGCCCCCGTTACCTGCCTTTTATAACACACAAAAAGGCTGCCCTCCATTTATTCCCAGAATCAGCTTATTTGGAGACACATGGGAGAGTGATTTTTCTCAATCTGCCTGAGGTGATGGATGCTGAGAGTTCTTTTGGTAAGTCATGTCACTGCATGCAAATGAACCACTCAAGTGTGAAGGAAAAATCCACTGCCGCAGAGAAATCTTGTGTAGGCACACCGTGGGGCTGAATTCGAGAACTGTTCTCACCACAGCGTTAAGATGCCGCAAAAATCTCTGCTGTGCACCCATGGACCCCTCTCTCTCTACTTAAGTAGAAACCCTGGATCTAAGGGCTTCTGATCTTCCTCCAAACTTTGGCCACGAAAGGCTCCCGCTAGACACAACGCTTGAAGAACGGGAGTCTGCCAGACGGAAATTCTCTCCTTCAGACAAAACATGCAGAAAGTCACGAAGGCACTTTAAGTGCTCATCAAACAGCGTGGGTCCAACCCTCCGAATGAGTTTCTTCTCCTGAGAAACGTAAATTTCGTATTGCTCTGGCAGGAAACGGAGGAAGCTGACTTCCACCAATCTTCGCAGGAAAGGGGTAAGGCTGTTTTTTAAAGGGTAGATAGCTGCGTCTCAAATTTATAGATGGACAGAGACATGTGGATATTATCTAGATGCTGTTATTGAAATGTTTGGATGGAACTCCTCAACACTGAGACTTCGTTCTACTGACGCCACAAGTTCACCCACGTGACATCTGGGTCTGTCTTAGAGGGAGGCTCTTTCCTTCTTCAGTGAGCATGCAGAAGAAACACAGATTCACCTCCGTCGGCCTCGGACAGGCACGGAGAGGAGGTGGAAGCGGGAAGCTGTCCCTTCAGGGATTTTCCTCTTTGCCTCTGAACTTTTCCCTTACCTTGCCTTTCCCCAGCTGGGTGGACAACCATTCCCAGGTGCTACAAAGATGACGAGCAGTGATGATTTTAACATTACGGGCCAGGAGAAAAAAAATGTAATAAAGGAAATGGCCTGAACACTCTGTTTGAACTACTTGAGGAAGTATTAAGTTTTATTCCAAAGTTGAGAACTGGGGCCAATGAGGAGATAACGTAGGGAGTGAGATTTTTGGCTTTATATAAGAAAAGACTTTCTGTGAGTTACGGCCACCAGGTTTTCTACGGCTAGAGTGGAAAAAAGAATAGTTTAACTAGAGTAGATATTAAAAGTCCCCTCAGCCCTCAGATTTTATGGCCTTGGATGGATATGAAATGTGGAAGAGGAAGGTATTGAGTTTATGGACATCTTACTACTACCTTAATACAGTGGGTGGGACAAAAATGGCACATATTCATGAGTTCTCTGTGTTGCACTTTACGTGCCTGGATGTTTTTTATCCTAATATCAACGCTGTAAAATCAGTGCTATTATTGAACCGGTTTTACAGACAAAGAAATGAAGGCCCAGGAAGATTCAATACTTAGCCTGCAGTGGAGCCAAGGATATGAACCCAGGTAGTGCGGCTCTAGAATCTCCGCTCTTATCCAGAGCATCTGCTAGTCTCAGAGCGTGGTCCAGAGACCCTCGGAAATTCCTGCGACCCATTCAGGAGGTCTGGGAGGCCAAAATTACTCCCACGACAACAGGAAGGCATTCGTTGTCTTTCTCACTATCACTCTGCCAGCAGCCTACAGTGGACTTTGCCAGCGGCCATCCTGGGTGGATGATGATGTCATCACTGTATCAGCCAATGAAATAGTGCACTTGGGGCACTCTCATGGTTTAAAAAAAATCTGCTTTCATTGATATTATGATAAGCATCGATGGATATAACCTGCATAAACAAAAGATTGTTGGAGTCCTAATTCATTGACGGATGCAAAGGGGTCTTGAGACCACAAAGCTTGAGGACGGTTAGACTGTCAACACTATGCTTCTCATGTGTGCATGTGCCTAGGAACATGTTGGGGAGCAGAGCTGAAAACAGTAAGGACACAAGGTGGAAGACAACGGGAAGTGAGGAAACCTAACTCTAGGCTTGCTTTGGTGGAGCTGTCGTATTGCCTTTGGTTTCCCCTTTCTTCCTCCTTCCGACGGCAGCTGAATTTAAACAAGATTTGCAGCTGCCTGCGTGACATCTGCCTGGCCTGCCACCAATCTAATGAAAACAATTAATCGGCGTGCTTCCCTTAAAACTCTTCAGATTGGTAATAACACTTATGAGGGAACCATTGGCAATGTCATAGGAAGTTGTATTTAACGTAAGAGAAAGACATTTCACTTGGAACTTGCTCAATCGAGACGTGCTGGGGCATGGGGCCCTGAGCTGGGGAATTAGACGCCATTCTCGCTGTTGCAGCTGAGAGCTGCTGGCGAGGCCAAAGGCAGATGTGTGGAATCCCAATGTGGGAGGCCCAAGGGGCAGTCGCCCAGCCGCGCAGTGGCAAGCCAAGGGTGGATGCAGATGGACTGAGAATAACAGCACCAGCAGAACCTTCAAAGAGGAAGTCTCAGTTAAACACCATACATCCCCATTCTTGGTCACTGAAAATGTGCAGGGCCTCTGAGCTTATTTCCCTCTGGGATAACAGGATTGACGGTGGGGTGGGGGGCGGTTTATGTTGGCCAACCCACCCATAAGCCCCCTACCGAGCCCGGCCAGAGGTAGCACGCCATTATGCAGACCACCAAAGCACCCTGAGACCTAGACGACACCGGCTGCCCTCCGATCGGAGTACCTGTCCTCAGGCAGCGGTGATCCAGCAAGTCTGGCCACCGTGGGGAAGATGTCCATGTTGCTAGTTGGCGCGTCAATATCTTGACCAGCCTGTATCACGCCGGGCCATCGGAGGATGCCTGGAACCCGAATACCTCCTTCCCAATTGTTGGATTTTCCTCCTAAAATGTCAAAAGAGAGGCAGAGGGAAATTTCAGTCTCTTTGATGCTCCCTTGAACATACACTTCTGCGCTCCCCATGGGGCAGTCCATTTGGAAGAAACTGATCACATGGATTCGATGAGCATTTTGTGAGCAACTATATTGTAATAGGAACAAAGTAAAAAGTAATGTATAGGATACGGTCACCACCATGTATGACATGGTCAGCATCGTAGGGTGGACAGGAGCAATGACTTTGTAAGAAGAGTCTCTAATCTTAAAGCAACACAGACTCAAATCAATGCTTCTGGGGTCAGGGAACTGAAATTCCATTTTGACTTTTTACCAGCTGTGGTAGGAAAAATAAGGGTGTCCCCCAGTGTCAGTGTCCACGTCCCCGGAACCTGGGGATAAGGGCGTGCTGCCTTATATGGCACAAGGGAGTTTGAACATGTGATTTCGAGATGCGGAGAGCACCCTGCACTGTCCGAGTGGGTCCAACGGGATCACAGGGTCCTCATGAGGGGAAAAGGGAGTTGGAGAAGCAGGGCTGTAATCACAGAGAGAGACCAGAGGATGCCACGCTGCTGACTTTGAAGACAGAGAAGGGCGCCCAAGCCAAGGAATGCAGGCAGCTTCTGGAAGCTGGTAAAAGGCATTTCTAGGGCCTCCAGAAAGAAATGCAATACTACCAACACCTTGAGGACTCATTTTTTGATTTCTGACCTTAAGACGAGAAATTCCTGTTGTTTCGAACCACCCACTTTGTGGCCAACTATAACAGCAGCCATAGGAAAGGAACGTACCAGCCCTGTGCCCTGGGGCAAACGGCCTTGCCGTCCTCACAATGTGTGAGTATCCCACAGAATTATTATCCCAGCTGCCCAGCCTAGTGACTGCAAGACAGGAAGGGCACAAAAATGGCCATGGTCATCATTGCTACTATTTTATTATCAGGACAGCTCTTACCAGCCTAATGGAGGAAACAGGCTTTGTGCGTATGAGGCGATTAAAAGATAATAAACACAACAGTGAGAGGGTGCGGGGAGGCTGGAAGCAGGACGTCAGAGTGGATCAGTGTCAGCAGATCATGTCAGAAGATGGTCACTGAAGGAAACCAAAATACTTCACCCCAAAATCCACTTGTTGGACATAGTTTGAGATGGCTGTTCAGAGGGTCTGCAGACAGAAGGAGCCCTGCGAAGCTGTCTTTCGTAGGCGAGATCAGCATGTGCAGAGGGAATGTGCATCAATTTCTCCGAGGGCCTCCCTTTTCCAGATGAGCTGAGAGTCTGACACCTTTAGGATCTAGAGGAAGCATCATTCACCATCTCTTCCCCCTGAGGGCTGCTCCCTGGGAGGCGTCATCTATACAGCAAGACCACCTGTGCCAGGCAGGCCTCCCCTTCTCCCCTCCCGTAACCTGTTTTGCCAGGATCCAAGCCCTGTTATTTCTGTAACCTCAAGATGGTACAAAAGCACCAACCATCTGGCCTTTTCTTTGAGTTCTACTTTGTAAGGCTCTCACGCACATTAATAAATTTGTATGCCTTTTCTCCTGTTAATCTGCCTTTTGTCACTTGATTTTCAGAGAACCTTCAGAGGGTGAAGGGGACATTTCTCCTTGGCCCCTACACCACCGACACCTCTGCCGAGGGATGGAGAGGGATGGAAACAGGGCTTGGCAGTTTGGGGCTCACAGAGGCCAGGGCTGGAGTCCCTCAAGCCGTGCTGGCAGCCCACACATGGATGAATAAGCACGGCTTCCCTCGGCATAAACGACTCGGTAACACACCAGGCACGGAGCTGAGCACTACTGCAGGAACAGCCTCAGGAAGTTGGGCTGCAACAAAGGGAGCAGGTGCCCGTTCAGCTACTCCAAGATACAGCCTGTTCTAAACAAGCTGGTGCGAGAGCATTAAATAGAGAGTTAAATAGAAACAGAGCGGGCTGACAAAGAACGTTAATTCCTAGCAAGGGTATCATATGTGATTCACCCTGGACATAAATGCCATTGAAACTTAGGATGCAAATTGCTGGAGACAGAGGTTTCAGGGCTCCTGCAGCAAAGCTGCATCTCCCAAAGCTGGTTTCTGCCAGCTGAGCACTGTAGACTGACGTCCTCACATCAGCACTCGGATGTCCCATGCGCACAGACGCTGACTGAGGGGAGATGCCTGCAGAAGTTCACATCACAGTTTACAGTTTCTGCGGTGGCCTCCTAAGAAGGTTAAAAGTCTTCCCATCCTTTATTTTTTCAACATCATCTTAATGTAATACTCTGACAGCTACTGTGATTCCTGCTTCTCAGAGATCACCTACAAAAATGGGAAGTTTAACTACTTCGCTGTAGTTCATTCAAGCGTCCAGAGCAGAGCTTTGGAAGGAACCTCCATGTGTGAATTGTATCTGCTTGTCCTCTTCGATCAAAGTCATAGACCTTTCACTTTAAATTTAGCAACGAAATAAGTGCTTGCTACATAACAACAACAACAAAAGGGCTAGTTTCAGGAATGGTTTTGATGGCATCTATGTATCGCCCCCATGGTTAAAATAAAACAAAATAAACAAACAGAAATGTAGACCAAACCATTAAAATAAGGAAAAAGTACCCTCTAAAAGTTTATATTCTAGATGCAACATGGCATTGTGAATTGGATCCTGGAACAGAAAAAAGGACATTAATGGGAAAACTAGTAAAATCTGAGTAAAGTCAGTTAATGATGTCCCAAGGTTACTTTTGATGAACACACTATGGTTGTGTAGGATAACACTGGAAATCAATGTTAGTAACTGAGTTAAGGGTTTACAGGAACTCTCTCTACCATGTTTGTAAATCTCTGTAAATCTAAACTGATTCTCATATATATGTGCATTTTATATATATGTATAATTTCCCCAGTTCACTAAGTGAGTCTGCATTCTCCAAGTCAAAGTGGAGACAACAAGAATCACCTCAGAGGGTTGTACAAATATCTTGGTAATAATAATAATGGGTGACTTTAATTGATCACTTATTATGTGACATGGATTGGAATAGGTATCTTATCTCATGAAATCCTTACTATTAAATCCTACTATTTCCCTGCATTTTACAGGTGCACAATCTGAGACTGAGAGAAGCTGTTACATGCTGAAGGTACTCACTTAGCAAGTGGTAGTCACAGACACAAATCCCGGTTTGTCCCACTGACTCCAAAGCCTGTGAATTTAAACAATTCTCCAACGCTACCTTAGCTCGGCAGCAAAACACGGGCGCCAAGCTGTCTGCGTACTGCCAGAACAGGACCACAGGTACACCACACTTAGAAACTCAGAAAGACACACCCAAATTGTAGAATTTGGAGGGACTGTGACTACCCCTGCAAGAGTTAATATGTGCGTCATCTTTGAGGCATCAGGCAATGCCCTAGGATGGCTGGTGGCGGCTCACCCGGTGAGGTAAAGAGTGCACCTGGCTGCAGAGCCATGTGAGAGAGGGGGAGAGAAGCACAGCTGCTAAAAGCAGAGAGTGCCCGGAAGTCCACAGGTGCACCTCAGCTCTGTGTATATCATGCTTCATATGCCGGGGATCTGTTCCCCTCGGAGGACTTTGCTAATACTCCAGACCTCCAGCTGATGGGAGGTAAGTGTTATGAGAGTGTGGCTTGATGTATAACTACTTTGAAAATAAAACAAAACTCTTGGAGAGACCCTAGAAATATCATACCCTGATAGAGATTCCAGATCCCCAAACAAGCCTCAAGCCACAAATGGCCACTTGGTAGCAACCCTTCTGCCTGGGGGCAAAGAAGTGGCTTTCCTCTGCTCTGGTAAGATGTAGAGAGCGCCCCCAATGCAGGCTTGGGATTGTGGGGGCAGCTGTGCCTCCAGCCTCCAGATCCGGTCACTTACTGACCAGCTGGCGTGGCAGCACCCGGGACGGTTTCATCCACAGCTAGTATTCTGATGACAAAATGTTATACTGCAGATGTGCTCAGTTGGAAGATCTGAACCCACGATGTGTAACACCGTAAGACTCTCATCTTGTAGTTCTTAATCTATGTTCAGAAACTAAACAAGTGTATCAGTAAACATAATCTTGTGCACTTTTCTAAAGTTGTAAAAGGAGTGTTTTTACAATAGCCACAGGAAAAAAAAATTTAAAAAACTTGTAACAGACGATAAACACATCCCAGCACACACAGCCTAAGGAAAAACACGCTTGATGAAGCATGGTCACATGTTTCCAGGCATGTGTTGATAAGCAAATACCACTGCTTGTCAGATGGTGTAGCTGAGTCTTGTTCCTCCTGCCATGTTCGTGGAAGAGGAGATGCTCAAAATGTGTCTGTCAGGCTTAAAAAGCACAGAACACGGTTCTCCCGGGCACCATTGTCATTACCGCTGCGTGGAGTTCACAGGGACTCAGGGAGTGATCGCTGGCTGCCTCACTGGTTCAGCAGACACTTATTAAGCAGAGAGTTCCTATGGTGAGGAATGATGATGGAGTTTAACGTGTCCCGGAAACCATTCCAGCTCATCACTTATATTAACTCCTTTGAGCCTTTGATTAACTCCATCACTCCGCAAGGCAGGCATCCCGTTTCACAGTTAAGAAAACTTTGGCCAAGTTTACACAGCATGTAATTGATGGTGCCAGGTAGAGTTCCAGAACCTGTCCTACTAAACTTAGCTAGCTTTACCGACATTCAGATCCCAGAAGGGGATACAAAGATAAATGAGTGGGGACTGTGCTCTCCAGAAATCCCCACTCTCCAAGGATAGCTGCGACATACCCACTGATAACTCTCGTCGCTGCCGACAGAATCCCAGAGGACACAATGATATAGGAACAGAGGTGTCGCCCTACAGAAACTCAAAGTCTCGAGGGATAGCCCAGGTTTACTCAGAGACAGCCCTGACTGAGTGCCAAAGAAAACCACAAGATGTGTCTTTTACCTGGGAAAAACTGCCTTATGTCAATAGGTTTTGAGTTAGGTTGCAAAGGAGAAATAAGCTTAAGAAAGTTGTGGCGGGT